GTCAGAGAGGTCATATGTCATTTGTGAGTATAACAGAGAAAATCACGAGAGAGGCATCTCTGTCCGAAAGAGGAGGCAGCAGATAGTCCTCCTGCTGACTGAGGTGCTCCACTATAATGGGCATACAGGCCTTTCATGTACCTGTAGAACACAGGGATGGAAACCTTTTTTGGGTCGGGGGCCGCTGACCCATAGAAAAATCAGTCGGGAGCCGCACACAAGTGAGAAGTCCCTGACTGAGGAAGAGAAAGACAGTTCCCCCTCATATCCCTTGCACACCAGAGCCCAGGGGGGCCCAGGCTAGTAGAGTTTGTGTGCTCCAGCACTGTGGGTAGTGGGAGGGGGCCTGGAGCACCAGCGTGGGCTCCCCAATGCTGAGCCTTGGGGGCCGGATCCAGACAAGCCAGGGGCCACATCCAGCCCCTGGGCCTGAGGTTCCCCACCCCTTCTGTAGCACTAAGACCAGGCTTCGTTGCTCAGCTAGGTTTATGGTTATCTTCCCCGCTGACCCACACTGGTTGTCATTCTGGGTAAGATCACCAAGGTCTGTTGGATCAGCTGCCTGCGCAGAGGTAGGATGGCACAAAAATCAAGCACAGACACAGGGCAACTGACACACGACTCAACTGACCTTCTATTTTCGGTTAAAAATGGGGACATAGTTTAACCCCTATTTGTAAAGTGCTTGGAGATATACTGCTGAAAAATGTTGTGTCAGTGCTAACTACTGTTGTTAATTCCCCTTCATGTTTCAGAGAGGATAAAATAGTGGTTCCACATTAGGTCCTAAATGGTTTAATAGTGCTGTTGCTGTGCACTGACTGCTCCTGTATGTGATGCTAGAACTAGCCTAATTTCAGCAGTAGATTGGGAGGCGGGAGGGGAAGGAGGCTGTAGAGAGAGACTATCAAGCACTATGGATCCTTCATGAAAAAAAAAAAAAAAAAAAAAAAAGATGCTACCTAAAATATAAGACTTTCTCCAGGCAGCTTCTCATTGAACCAAATTTAAACCAGATGTACTATCTATCCAGAGGCATATATGTATTAAAAGTTACAATTGTGCTCTGTAGCACGTAAGCCGCAAATTAAACAACGGAATTGAAGTTATAACCCTGAAATTCCTTCCCGTCCCTATCAGACTTAAAAGTCTGATACCCTAAACTGATATTCTTTTGTTTTGGTTTTCAGTGGTGATTGCATTATTGATTTTAATACACAATCCACTTCATACACTGAAAGAAAGAGTCCTGTAAGCCTTGAGTCACCGACACAACAAATAATAACTTAGAAAATCACACTTTGTTTGGAACCATGATGGTAAGAATGTGACTGATCAGACACTCTCAATCCCCACCTAATGAAAGCTCTATTGCAATAGGTCCTAATGAGCCCATTTACAAATAACCACCGGATCAGAAAAATGTGTTTGATTTTTTTTTTTTTTTTTTTTTTTTTTTTTAAGTAGTAGTAGTCTCTTCTGATCATGGTTCGTTGTGAAATACAAACCTGTGCTTCCTTCAAAAGACAAAAAAAGATAGCACCTGTATCCCAGTCCCCTTCTTTCATTCAGGTTCTTAAAATGTGGCCCAAGCTACAGGTCTGGTTTAAAAGCTCACGTTGGGTTTACCGATATTTAAATAATGGCTAAATACCTGTATAATTGATTTTGCTCTTTTTTTTTAAATGTAATCAAGTATTTTCTCTAGGAAAAAACAACAAAATATTTTTGAAGTCTTGAGCTTTATTGGAGCCCATCAGTTCTGAGAACTCAAGTGATCTATTCTACATGCCTTCTTTGTTAATGTCTCTCACTCACTTATGCAAGAGGACCATCAAGACAAATAAATTCTATGAAGCATATTTTTCACACACAAATCAATGACCTGGATTAAGAGGGGAAATACTGCCAGATAGCAAACAACTGTGATGAACTGTTTACAATCACATAGTACATGCAGTCCTAAGCAGAAGAAGCGGTTAATAAGATTATAAACATTTTGACAGCACATAGTACACTATAAACAGTTTTGCATAAAGGAAGAAGTTGAGCTATGCTTACTTCTGGTTAGGTCCTTAAATGTAAAGATAACATTAATATCCTTTGTTAAATAACTAACAGTGCAGAGTGAACAACACTCTGCAGGAATTGTCTTAGGTTTACTTATTAACCTTCACCCATACCCAGAGTGATTAAATTCTTAATTAAAAAGGTGTGGCACAGAATTAGTCTAATTATTGTAAGAAGATTTGCTTCAGCAGTTTAGCCTTTGAATCTCTGTGGGCAGGATTATCCTTGAGAAGTAGGCGTTTTCCATTAGGTATGGGTATAAGCCCAAAGTGCTGTCTGAGTCAACATACTGAACACAGGCGTCATAACATCACAACAACCTCTTTGTATGAGGAAGACCCTACAACTGATGTTTAGAAACCAGTAAAACACATTTCAGAGCAGGGAGGTCTGTACGTGTTCATTACCAAACAAAAGGAGTACTCTAGCGATTTTAAAAAACACTAGTCTTTTGGAATAGGTCCAGTGTACTAGATAAGCCACAATGGACCCAGAAACAGACCTTTTAAAACTCCCTCGTCACCTAGGACAGTGGTTTTCAAACTACGGATTGCGTCCCAGTACTGGGTGGTGGAATGTCAGGAATTGGGTCTCACTGCTGTACCGTGGCCAGTGGGGGTGCTAAGGCAGCTACCTACCTGTCCTGGCATCACAGGGTACGCTGCACCCCAGAAACAGCCAGCAGCCCCTGCCCTGAGCACTAGCTCCACACTCTCATGGGCGGGGAACCTGCTGCTGGCCGCTTCTGGCACTGCAGAATATGCTGCGCTGCAGGAGAGGCAGGAAGCTGCCTTAGGACTCCTGCTGCACTGCTGACTGAGAGCTGTTTGCAGTAAACCCCTCCTGCTCCAGACCTGACTTCCCCCCCCCAACCTAGAACCCCCTCCCACAGCCCAAAAGCTCTCATCCTCAGCCCCACCCCAAAGCCCACACTCTAGTCCCATTAAGTTGGGTCAAGGGCATCAATAATTGTCTTCAACTGGGTCATGAGAAAAAACAAGTTTGAAAGCCACTGACCTAGGATTCCCTTGTTTATTTCAGCCTTCACTTCTTAGAATGGGTTCTTCTGTATGAGCATGAGTATTAAACCCACTAATATGTAGGCCAATGACTTCTTTAATACAGGCCTCTAAAAACTACCTAACAACTGAGACACCAGTTCTTGCCAAGACAGAAGTGAGAAAAGGAATGCAAGTCTAGAGCTCAGATACCTTGTAGGCTGTCCCATGATATATGTCTAGTTGAACAAAAAACAAACAAACATTTGGCCAACGTTTTAATCAAAAACACAATCAATGACACTTTTATAGAGAGACTATCGCTCATCCCTCACAAACATCCACACAGAGGCCTGTTTTGACTACTCTTCTGTAATAACTTCATCCATTACCATCTAAAACAGTAAACATGAAAATGAGATTATGTTAAGAGAAAATAATCCCACACAATTTCTAAATACCGCCTCAATTATTTTATATTGGGTTTCATATCACAGGTCTTTCAGCACAGAGATTTGTTTTGTTTTGAAAGGCATGTGTCCTAAAAATAGGTACTGGCAGGTTGAGAGCTTAGCGAGAGAACATTTCACAGTATCATAATGTTTAAAAAAAAAAAAAAAACCTTTTAATACAGAGCAGAAAAAGCTACAGAAAAATCTTTTTCTATTATTGTATAAAATAAACTGCTTTTTTGGCATGCTTAAAGTTGAAAAGTTCTCTTACCCAGAAGATCCAATGCTTTTACACACACCAAGAAGAGGTCTCTTCTCAGAAAAATTATCACATTTCTGAGGGCCTGATTAGAAGAAAAACAGAAAAATAAATCTCAATAAAAAGCATCCATTATATTTTATTTTCACCGCGCGGTCTTTACTAGTTCATTGGAATAAACTGAATTGCAAAGACACAAGAGTTATATTTTCAAGTCTAGTTAAATTTCACAACACTTTTTTTTAAAATCACAAATCATTAACCTGAAAAAAAAAAATCTTTTACAGAAAAGGAAAAATATTTTTAGCATACCTGGCTCAGTCAAAATATCCCCAAAGATCTGACCAAGCAAAGGGCAAGATATTGAAAAGCCAGGGGCTACACTGAACAGAGACTAAAGGCTACTGAAAGCTCAGCAATAGGAATACATTTCAAAACAGAGCCATGAACGTTAGAACTATAGTTCTAGTATCATGATGGGAGTAAATGAACAATATAAATTTTGTCAGGAAATTGGGGTAATTGCCTTCCCTTTTTAGAGAGTGGATCTTAAGAAAAAACAATGTCAACGAATACTAATTCACACTTCTATTTTGTGAAGCTGTTCTAAAATAGGAAAGGTGCTATTTCTGAAAAGCTTCTGAAAAGCAATTTATTCCACTGAAGCTACACAGTGTAGGTGTAGCTCCCCTCTTTCTTTAGTGAGTGACAACATGAATGCTAATGTTTGCCTAAAATATGGGCATACCTATCTTACATCCCTAAATTGGGCACATTTTTCACAAGTGACATAGCCGCATAGGTGCCATTTTCAAAAGCAGTTTAGAAAAAATAAGTCCACTAATCTACAGGGAGACTTAGGCTCCAAGTCAATTTTCAAAAATGAGGCATGGACATTCTCAAAAATCGTATCCAGTGTGTAAGCAGGAATACATTCAAATAAAAAATATCTAATTTCTCTTCTCTGTGGAGTTTTTTTCCCTGAGGGTACTAGAGCTTTGCTGAATGCCAGGATGTTTGTCACTGAATTTAAACAACACACTCCTCAAGAGGTACATTTTCAGGTTAGAAGAAAACTTCCTTCATTATAAAAACCAAACTCTTTGATCTACACCAAGTATCGGGAACACATTCTGTTCAAACCTTAATTCACAATTCATTGTACTGCTGTACTTCTATGTGAATTCATCAGAAAGGTACAACAATTAACAATATACTTTTTCACTTAAGAGTCTCTGTTAATTATTGATAGCATGAGCAATTAATTTATAACATAATACTACTCAGCAATCTCATCTATACAAGGCCAACTCTTCCCTCCTACGTGTTTGGGGGCATTTATAATGGTAAATGGTTCACGTTGATAATTTCTCCATCAATAGGTATAAGGTTACTTAAAACAGCCAAATGTATTCATTTTATTCTGCATTTTCCAAGGTTTATTATGTGTCACACCTGTACTGATTTGTAAACTGATAAATGAAACATGTGAAGTCTTTTTAAAAACCTGGCAACCAATTTGTCCTCCTCCCCCTCAATATGTGGAACAGATGAACTCCATTTGTTTCTGTTTACTCAGCCAGGCTCAATAGAAATTACATGGAGGAGAAACCCTGGCTCCACTGAAGCCAATGGGAGTTTTGCCATTGATTTCAGTGGGGCCAAGATTTCAACAGTACATGCATACACATACTGGAGACATCAGTTCACAACCAATTCTAAGTCGGAGTATAAACTTTCTATTTTGGTAAGGAACGTTACAAAGGAAAGCATTCCACAACATACAAAAATGGATTACATTTGCACAGAATCAACAGGAATACCATCATTATTCTCTGCAATTTATTTGTAAAAATTGCAACAACGGGGGGGGAGGGGGGAGAAAGGAGGGTTCAACTTCTAATTTCAAATTTTCAGACTCAAGCTCATGTGCAAAACACATCCATTATCTACTTCAAATTTATACTTTAGGGTGTAAATACTAATACTCGAGAAATATCACTAGTATGAAGATATTGCAGTATGCAAAATCAGGTTAGCAGCAATCCTGTTCATGAAATTGCAAGCAGCAACATGTGTTGTTCTCCATGATGCTTAATGCATCAGCATTCCTCTGTCATTCTCGGGGGACGTTTAATCCTTCAAGTTATGGTGGATTAATTTGTTATATATAAAATTGTGTTTATTCACATGTGCACTATATTGATGTTATACACACCTGCTCTGCGCAGTGTTTAACAGAATGCGGTCTGATGATTGAAATGATTGAAAAACAGCTAGCCAAATCCATCAAATATAAAAAGTATTGCAATCCTGTTGCAAAGTCCTTTTCTTAAACTCCTTTTATTTTAAATCCTTTTAATTCTGTCATATAACACTGCAGCATTTATAAAAAGCTGAAAATCCTGATAAATCACTCAATTAAAGTAATGAAAACTGCCTTTCCTGCCAACCAGGCACCACCTTATCTGCAACTCCATTTAGCTAAATGATAAAAAAAAATAAAAATCCCGTCATCAGCGTCTTTGAAAATATGCAAAACCAATTCCCCTATCTAGATGACAATTAATGTAAAACAACTTCCAGATCTCCATGCACTCAAAGTTTTCGATGTACTAACAGTTCACTTGTTCAGATGAGCTCATGTACTGTACTTCCAATGAGATGGAAGTCCTGCTGCCAGCTTAGTAATGCTAATCATGCCAAAACACACTTCAAGGGGCCAAAGCAGCATAACACACAGCCTGATTTTCAAAGGAGATCAGCACTATAGCTTCTATTAACTTTCATGAGTGTGGGGTCTGGTGATCACCTCAGAACATTGCAACACTAGCATCGCTGAATGTCTTCTCTCAATAAAAATCAGGACACTGTCCTTTCGCTGGGATGGTGCTTCCTAAAAGGCACTTTGTTATTTTCACCTCTCTCACTATTTGTAAATCATTTTACTGCACCTTGAGTAAGAAATGCCCTCTATAATGCCAAGTGCTGTTCTATTTAGCAATAACAAGTATGCTTTGAAAACACGCAACATACGTTCACTTTTATTTCTTCATTAGCAGATTTACTCAGCGTTGCTCAGGTCCGTAATTTGGGAATTCCACAAAGTATATTCTGTTACTTCACCCCAAGAAACCCTTATCAGTTGCTAGGTCTGAACAAAAAAGGGCTATAAACAATTTGATTTCCAATAACATTTTCTAATTTTCAAATCTTAAGCACTGATTCAGCGGTGTCAGAAGTGAGCACTATTTCACATTTCTCCATTTTATCTCTGTTCTGTAAAGTGTATGAAAAAGCACTGCTATTGCAGGCTCATCCTATTTTTCTGGCTCACCGTGGTTCCGTCTCTTTCAGCATTCACTCAGTTATATCAATTGTGAGGACGGTACTTGATTTGGTTGATTCTGCCCCTTTTCTGTATGGTTTTATGAGAAGCAAGCCCATTCTAGGCACATCCTGCTTCCCGGCGCAACCAAACCCTTATGTTGCTTTAAGTTATGGTAAGAGGAAACGGTATACCAAATTGGATGGCCCTATTTCTTACCATTTAGGAGGAGTTCTTGAATAGACAGAAACTCTCTAAAAGAGAGAGCAGATCATTTAATACCAGTTTGGTTCAGGCCCTTGTGTTCCTCTCATCAGCACAACATCCTAGAGCTTCCCTAAAATGCATTAAGCCACTTGACTAGCATTCCTCACACATGGTTCTCTCTCTTCGTCTTTTACTCCAAAGAAAAAATGAGATGTTCTATTTTTGTTTTCTTTATTTCATACCTGCCGTGCTATGCACATTTATTATCGAATGCAGGGTGAAAAGTGCACCTTCCAGTTAGAAAAAAAAGTGGTGAGGGGTTTGCAGCGCTTCTTAAAACCTGTGGGAGTTTATTCCCCAGCCTTAGACCAGTCCCTGAGAATACTGTTTCCTGCACAGACCAGTCTCCTGAAAGTGGGTAGTTCCATCATGTCAAATGAGTGTCAGTGTTGACCACAGTCCGCATCCTGGAGTTTCTGGTGGTGATTTGTTTAAGGGACCGTGAGTTCAGGCCATTGAGTGTCTTAAAAATGAAGATCCATCTTGAATTTGACTTTCTAAACTGGCTTTCCATAGAGTATCTGGGAGGACCGGCCTGATGCATTCATACTACAAGCTCTTTGGGACATAAATCACACTTTTTTTTCCCCTCTGTGTTATATAGCACCTAGAACGGCAAGGTCCTGACCCATAACTAGGGCTCCTGGGTGCAATGGTAATATCAGTACATAAATATTGTTCGCACACAGTAGCCTACGTTGCCACAATCAGGAATGTGAAAGGTTAACCAGTAAGCATCATCCTTAAGGAGTAATGCTTATCGGTTCCAGTTAACCGGTGGGGGCTGGAGTGTTCATTCCTTAATTGGTTAACAGGTTCAACTTAACGTTTTTACATCCCTAGCAACACTATGTTCCTACATTCAGTACCAGCTGGAGTTTCCTAAGGATTCATCCCCATGGTCAAAAACACAAATAGCACAGAACTGAAAAATTCCTGAGTATCTTCCTTTATTTAAAACAACCACTTCAACTCAATACATTTTCCATGCACAGAAACACTATCTCCTGGAAACTGGGTTCATTTAAATAGGGAACTTGCATTTGATTAATAAACAAAGCAAATATATATTTGTAGGTCCTGTACAGCATTGAGCACATGCTCGTTAAACAACAATAATAGTCACAAGTCAGCACAGTTCCCAACTTTCAAAATTCCTCCACTCTTCCATGCTGAATTTTATTCCCTGCTCAGAGTTGCTGTATTGAGAAAATTCAATTTCAGCAAATATGAAGAACTGTAAAGGGCCAAAGAACGTACATCCAAGTGACCACAGTCTGCCTCTTCTAAGCTCTCAGCTCCTCAACCATCATCTTTTTGGGTTAGAGGCACAAATCTCTTTTCCTGATGACAAAATTTTTCCAGGTTTCATGGTTCCCTGCTCACCCTGTGGTAATTCCAGCAAGGCAGATTGCCTAAGAAGGCCAACATTCTATATTTGCTTTCTCTCCAAAGGCTGCCAACAGCGTAATTGTTCACGGCTATGAATT